AAATTCAAAATAAGTAGGTAAGTGTTTTATTTCAACCAAATTTGGGAAATTTTGAATTCTTTAATATCTGTAGATAATAAAACATCTTTAAATCACCTTCAAATCTGTTGAATTTTTATCAGGTAACCAGTCAAAGTTTAGGAATTATAATTACTTGCTTCGTGTTGATAAATTGCGCGTAAAGGTATTGTATTCTCTTACAATGTTTATTATTAATTTATTCTTACTTTTTGACTATAATTGTATTAAATACTGTCTTACGTTATGGCTGGAACAAATAATGGTAGGTTTTTATTATTGTACTGTCACTACCTTAATAAAGTAACCGCTGCATACTTTTAATAAATGTATAGACATTAATGTGCGTGACATTTTTTAAAACCTTAATAATTATTAAGGTTTTAAAAAATGTCACGCACTGTCACACTCTGTGTTTAGGTTTTTTTAATAGCTTACCGTTCTGTCTTTCAAATAAATCTTAAATCAAGTGCTAGTAGGCGCAACAAATATGGTTTGTTTATTTTTTTTCAGTTAATACATTATCCCTAACTCATACGGAGCTTTGTAAAAAGTGTTTTAGTTTGAAGCATTTCAATATAAAATTAGTTTTAAATTACTTAGTAGACTAGTAGTCTAAGACTACGCATTTACAAAAATAGATGTATCTTGGAAAAAACTTAATTCATTTTTTTAATATAGAAAGACGCTGAAAGCCCAGAAGAAATATAATTGTATTAAATATTGTCATATGTTGGTGATGGAAACAATCAATTAAAAAGCTACTAATAACAATAAATAATTTTGAATTAATTACTGATAACTATTAGTGAATATTAATAATTTTTGCCACCACCGCGGTAGGCTAGAGAGCGCTTCCAGCGCGCGAAAATTTAAAATGAGTAAGTGTTTTATTTCGACAAAATTTAGTGAATTTTGAATTCTTTAATATCTGTAGCAAATCAAATAATGTTATATCACCTTCAAATCTGTTGAATTTTTATACCTAACCAGTCAAAGTTTAAGAATTATAATTACTTGCTTTGTGTTGGTAAATTGCGCGTGAAGGTTTTGCTTCTCTTACAATGTTGCTAATTTATTTTTAATTTCTGACCATCTTTGTATTTAATAATTTCATACGTTATGGCTGCAAGAAATATTGGTAAATTTTTATAATTATTGTACTGTCCCTACGTCAATAAAGAAAGCGCTGCATATTTTTGTATGTATGAACAATACTAAGGTTTTAAAAAATGTCACACATTCTCACACTCTGTGTTAAGAGTTTTTAATAGCTCACTAGTGAGCTGTTCTGTCTTTTAAATAAATCTAAAATCAAATGCTAGTAGGCGCCATAAATATTTTTTGTTTGAAGCATTTTAATAGAAAGTTGGTTTTAAATTACTTAGCAGACTATGCATTTACAAAAAAAATTGTATCTCGGAAAAAACTTAATTCAAAAATTAAATTTTTTCAAAAAAGATAGAAAAACGCTGAAAGCCCAGAAGTAATATTATTGTATAAAATACTGTCATACGTAACAATTAGGTTTTATTTTATAAATATTCAGTTATATTTTTGTAATTTACTCATTAAAACTATAGATCTTAATTTTGCCATCACACAAATATACTTAAAGTTACTTAAAGTATTATATTGTCGATTTGTTTTTCTATCAATTGGTATTAAAAAGTATTTTTTTTTAAATTTCATCAATAAGAACAAAAAAATAAACATTAACTAAGAATTACTTAACCAAATAATTTCTGCGCGTTAAATTGGCTCTCTAGCCCACTGTGCGGCGTGTAGAACGGGCATGTACGCCTGGCGGCCAGGCCTGGCCAACTGTCGGGCATATCCGCCTGGCCGAATGTCGGCTATGTTAACTCGGCCGAGTGTCGGCTGTGTAAAGTTGGCCAAGTGCCGGCCACAACCTCCTGGCCATTCAAAAAAAGCCTACCCAAGTAGCACAAACGGTTAAATAACTAGTATTATAAGTAAATTAACCGTTTTGACGTTTTTTTTTAACTTGGGTTTTTAACCAATTAGTTGAATTATCCATTTAGGTTTTTTTACGGTTGTTATAAACTAAAAAAATACCTTTAAATTAACCAACTAGTTGCTATTACTTAAGAGTTAATTTAAAAGTTATTTTTTACTATAATTTAACTTTAAAACTAACTGATGAGTAAAACAATACTTCCAAGTTAAATAAATGGTTAATTTTTAGTTAATTTTTAAAACCTTAATTTACCTTAGTTAATAAGTAGGTTATTTTAGAAGTTATATAACGTTATATTAACTTTAAATTTTAACCAATAAAACTGGTAAAGAGTAGTTAATTTGCTTGTTATATTTTGGTTCATTTGAACTATAAATTGAACCTTTTGGTAAGTTAACCACAGTTTTGGTTAATTTGAGTATATTTTTTAACCAACAAGTTGCATTTTACCAAATGTATTTTAAGTAAATGGTAAATTAACGTTAATCAACCAACTCGTTAAAAAAGTGATGGTTTTGCAGTTTTCATTGTTACCTAGGTACATAAAAAAATAATACCAGTTGGCTTTGTGTTTTGTGTGCTTATTCTTGGGTTTTATTTCTTATTCATTTAATCATTTCTGTGTTCTTATTATAGTGTTATAATGAAAATTTTAACTATAATGTGTTAAATGTAACCAAATTGAAACCAAAACCAAAGAGTTAAACTTATAATTATATATTATTGATGGGTATAAATAATAAATAATTATTTACTACTACTTTAAAGTAGTTTACACGCAAGGAAATAACTAAATGGTTTAAATAAACTTGCAGGTTAATTTATATTGGTTAAATAACCAATTAGTAAAAGCATCCTATAATCGCCATATTGCTTGCTGTTCATTTTACAAAAGGAAATGCCATTAATTTTTATTTTTGATTTTTATTTCAAATATAAGGTAATTTAAATAAACCAATAATAAAAAATAGTATTATTTTATGTTTGAAAGTATTTTAAATCAATTTTAAGTAAAATAAAAAATAAATAAGCAAAAAAAATATTTTTTTTTTAAATATTTATTTTTTTTATTTCTTATTCTTTTTTGAGCGCGTTTAAAATATAAAAGTATTATGAGCCATTTCATCAGAAAAAACAAATGCCCCATTGGTTTTTCTCCTAGAACTACCTCTTTTAAAGATTAAAATGAAGATATTAATATTCATTTTATTTAAAATCTTAAGACTCATAGATCTATGCATACTTGTTGTAGTATAGGTAATATACCTACTTGGTAAATTATAATTATATTAAATTAAAATAAACTTAAAATGGTTGGTTTTTCACTTTAGTTTAAGTCGAGGTTTAAGTTGACTAAAGAGTTAAAAAGCAGTCAAAAAAGGGTAAAATTACCCAAAAATTACCAAATATTAACTTTTTTTAACTGACAGGTATATTAACCAAGAAGTTAAATTTACTTAACATAACGTTAAATTAACCATGATTTTTGATCCCCATTTATTACAAAATAACGTTAATTAAAGGTTAATTTAACGTTATAGTACAATATAACTTAAGTAAATTAACCAGACAGAACGTAAATTTAACGTTAATTTAACCAGTTGTGCTACTTGGGTACAGACGTCCTGGAGAGGTATATCCTATAAGTTCAGCCCTGAAATTCTCTGAATGGCAAGATACTTCTTTAACACACTCGACTAGCTAGACATTATTCGTTAATGAGTAGATGAGGATGGAGATGGGGACTACCAAGAAATAATGTTCAGCTATGCCCACAGACTAGGCATGCCGTATTCTGGCCGACTTCGGTTAGAACATGGCTAAACGGTACCGGGGTAACATATGCTCGGCATAGGCGGTTGACCGGCGGTTGTTATATAACGCGGGCCGTAAGCGGGCCGGCTGGGGCAAGCCGAACCGCCGGTCAACCGCCTATGCCGAGCGAAGGCTGACTGTTTGCCGAGTGTTTAGGAGCATTTTTCTGACGGGACCAGCAGTGCAGCACGCAAGACCTAAAGTCACAAGATCTAAACTCTCTCGAGCTAAAATTTACATGACCTGCAAAGCATTTTAGACCTTAAATGTGTGGCAACGTCGCACTTCCTGACGTCCATTCGACAGTCCAAATCATTGTCTAAATACTCGGTAGGAACAAGGCTATTGTATCTTTGCTATTTACAGATTTAAGCCTGATTTATAGATTGCCTTCCTTCCTTCCTTCCTCCCGTAAAAGATGAACAATACAAAAACCGTTGTGCTGTTTATAGATACCCGTACGGGAATCTATAAATGGCACTACGATTTCGTGTTGTTCATCTTTTTCGGGAGGAAGGAAGGAAGGCAATCTATAAATCAGGCTTTATTCATGTACAGTGTACACAAAGATATTATTATATTATTGTATTATCTTTGACTGTACCTACCTAAATAGTATTTAGGTATTAAGTAAATACATTAAGTTTAAAAAAAAAATGTGGGTTTTAATTTTTAACTTTCATTTATTGATGTTTAAAGCCAAGAACACCACATGTTCTTGTTTAAAGTCACAGTTTAAAGTCATGGAGGCTGCATGGGTTGTGGGCTGTGGCCCACAACTTGTGGAAGGCTCCAGGTTGGGAGTTATCAAAATGGACATTTCGAGATGTCAAAATTATATTTTACCTTTTTTTAGAAAGTTGTAAATGTGTATTGTAAAGATTTATTTATGAATGTTAAACGATAAAGAAACGTCGTTGTTTAATTAGATTTTCTTAGTATTGGTGTTGCAAAGCAATTAGCGAAATAGGTTTTTCAGTTGGTTATCGGTTTGTAGCCAGCAAGGCTTTGTTATCTAGGGTAGCCAGAGATAAAGAAGGTTAGGTTTGTAGCGATTCCAAGAATTGAAGAGGATGTAGGTAATTCGAATGTGACGCCAAAATGACAGAGCGATGAGTTCATTGGAGAGAAAGGGGAGACCCGGCGATTGGTGAGTGCGATAGAGAGAGCGAATGGGTGTTGTGTATGCGCATGTGCACATGAACAACAACTTTTTGGTTTGTTTATCTTTCGTGGTGCAAAAGTGTTTTTTGTCGAGGAAAAGTAAATGCGTTTTGAGGTAGAAAAAAACAGTTGAGAGTTGGAAAGGCGACTGGATGTTTTGCTGTTGTTCTTATAGGGAGGACAGAGGCAAAGGTGAAGTGATTTGAGTATAAGTTTGGTTATTGGTCGCTATCTGTCGTTATCCCCGCTCTCTTGATTGAATGTCCCGTGCCGCCATTTTAATTTCGTAGTTACTAGGCGTTAACTTTGTGTTCTGTTTTGGTAGGTCCGATGGCTGCTATAAGGAAAAAATTGGTGATTGTTGGTGACGGGGCATGTGGAAAAACGTGCCTTTTGATTGTGTTTAGCAAGGACCAGTTTCCTGAGGTGTACGTGCCGACCGTGTTCGAAAATTATGTTGCGGACATCGAAGTGGACGGCAAGCAGGTCGAGTTGGCGTTGTGGGATACGGCCGGACAGGAGGACTACGACCGTTTGAGGCCCCTTTCCTACCCGGACACTGACGTCATCCTTATGTGCTTTTCCGTCGATTCTCCCGACTCCTTAGAGGTAGGTTAAACACTAAACCTCAAAGCAATCTATTCAGCATACACATACTGCATATTATGAATACTGGGACATACTGAGATTTTCTTGTTTTGGGTTTCCCTTTAAACAAAAAAGAACAGGTTGTAAGCTTCCCAGAGCTGTTTATTTAAGAAACAACTATAGAGTTGTAGTAAATCCCATTGTAGCTCTGGGAAGCTTACAACCTTGTTGCTCTTTTTGTTAATAAGGATTTTTCACTTAAACGATTAAAACATTTGGACATATTATGTAGAGCATTTTACAGTTTCAGTGAATGTAGATACAACATTGGAGTCTTGGCAACCATCATTGTTTAGCAAATGTTTAATATTTATAAAATTGAGTAAAGTACTTTTTTCCAGTCATATGAAAGAATTTGTACATTTCCTATACATTTTCAATTCAGAAAGTCTGACAATTTGGAGAAAGTTGATTTTTCTCCAAGGTTACTGTCCAATAAGACGAAGAGAATTTCATTTTCTCCACCGTAGTGTTTATCATTACTATGACAATTGAAGAGCAATCAGACAAAACCAGACAAATCCATTTAACACGTTAACGGCCACGTCGGTCCCAGGGGACCGCTAATACTTTTTCCATCCAGGACACGGCAGTCCCTGCGGACCGCCTGTCAATTTTTTGTTTAACAGTTTAACATGATTTTCTGGCCAGAGGACCACTCGTATAAGGTATTTTAAAGCATGCATAGGACCGCTTGGCCCTGACGACTGACGAAGATACAAGAGTTTTTTAATTATTTATTTTTTAATCTGTATTTTGACGATTTTATTTTTTAAAATGATACAAGTAAAATAACAACTTGGCCCAATAAACAAAATCACCAATAACACCGTGGCGTTTAACGTGTTAAGTGATTTGCAGAAATAAGGCAAAAGCAAAACAATTATTTTATTTTTGATTTCTTTCTGCAAATCACCATAATGAATTTGTCTGGTTTTGTCTGATCCCTCCTCAATTATACTGTGGTTCATTATTTTCTTAAAAATTAGTTGACACTGACATTTGTCGTGGAACCTGTGGTTATGGTAATTTCACAAAAATTGTACTAAATTCTTTAATAAAATAAAAAAGTATAGTGTTAAGAAACCATGTGTAGAGTATTATACAGTATAATTTATACTCTACACATGGTAAAAACAAAAATAGAAAATCATTATAAACATAGATTAGCAAATGGCCCTATGGGAGCTACAGCCTTTTTTAAGGGGCACCCCTGAAGATGTTAATGCTGGAAACCCATTTGGCCTACGCCACGCCACCCTATGCTACGCTACGCTACGCGACGTTTTGTTATGCAGAAATTTAACACAGGTTTCAATGCAATACGTACTCACTTGTCCCATGCCACCCCACACCATGCCACCTGACGTCGAACGACGTTTCGAAAATCAAATTGTTTTGAATTTCGAAGAGACGTGTGGACGCGTGTTGTCCCCCTCCATGCACCTACACACGGAGTGCGCATGTTCTGTAAATAGTTTTCAAACATGGATGAACAAATTATTGAAAAAGTGCGTTCATATAGTTCCTGTAAAATCAAAATTAAAGAAATTACAATAATAATAATTTATTAAAGAAATTTAGTTTTTTATTTATAATAATAGCAACAGCTCCTCTAGTTCACATTCCCATTCTTCAGATGAAGAACTACTTGCACACTCCATTTTCTTTACCAAAACGAACAATACTAATACTAATAAGTACATAAAGCAATTTTATTATTATTTCATAATTTTATATATCAATTTTATTTTATGTTTGTCATAAGACGTGGCGTAGCGTATTACTAATGTGTACGGTGACTCGAAAACGTGAACCCACGTCAGTCGACGTCGAGTAGCATGGCGTAGCGTGGCGTGGGACAAGTGGGTTCTTAGCTTTACTCATTGCATTTCCTTATTCCCTTATGCATCAGTTGTTTTTGAATAGTTTTTGTTTTTACTCTATCTATTCTGATTTTTTCTGTTTCTAGTTTTGTAATTATGGATTTCCTCCTGTTTTGTTAGGTTTATGTTGTTGTCTATGATTTCTTTCTTGTTTTATTTATGTATTATTTGAAGTGTTTCCAGTAATTGTAATACATTTATAAACTTATTTCTTTTGTAGCTGTTTCTTGTTTGATATTAATAATATCATATTATATAAGACTTTAGTTACCTTTTTTTGACTTCTTCTAATGTATTTTGTTTGCCGATCCCCAGAATGGCATTGTGTAGGTTAGATTACTTTTTAAGTAGGCATCATAGTGCTTTTGTTGGGTATTTTTTGTTTTTTAATTTCATTTGTTCCTTTTTGCATGATATTTAATACTCTCCACAGTTTTTACTCTTACCTTCTTATTAATTTGTTCAGAATAATATTTATTTTTTGTTGTTTATATAAAATTTATTTATGTTGAAAATCTAATTTTAGTTCTTTATACTTTGTTTTTTTATCATTTTTATAGGTATGCTTTGTCTCTTTTCTTTTTACTGCTGCTTTGGTCATCCAGCCCTTATTATTTGATTGAAAAAATGTTTTCTTTATTTTCACTGTGTATTTTTTTTCTAATTGTATTATTTCTTGTAGCTCTTTAAAAGGTGTAATGTTTTTTTGCAATTACCTACAGTTTTAAGTTCATCTTTTATTTTTGGTAGGTTAATCTTTTTATGACTACAGAGATGGGTATCCTTGAGTGTTATTACATGGTCAATTGTGTGTCTTCCTGTAATTTGATTTATTCTGGAACATTAATTTTTGCTTATTTTTTTATTTATGATTTTCTTTTTCTTTCAGTGTATTAATATATTCGTTTGTTGTTTAATCTGCTTTTAATAAATTTATGTTCACCAATTATAACTGTATTTTGTTAATGTTTTAATATAATATATGTATTTAATACATTGCTTAACATCTAGAGATGCCACTTGAAAAAACACGGTCAGTTTTTTTGCTTTTTTCGGGTTTTTTTCATTGTTTTTTTTTCAAATGGTTTTTTTCTAGTCCCATTTGCCTAATTTTTTATCCAGTTCGTGGAGTAAAATTAGCCACTAAATGACATTTAGTAAATGTAAATACAGTCTCGCGCTTTGCACGCGCCACCACCACCGAATTGACCAATAATAATAATAATGTTTTGATTTGGTCCTAAAAAAAGTAACTACCTATAATATTTTTGATTCAGCGCTTGATTTCAAAAAGCTACCAAAAGCACTTTTTTCATGTTTTTTCAAATTCATGTAGAGTATGGAATTTTTTTTTCTTTCAAAAAAACAATAGCAAATTCTTTAAACATTTATTAATTGGTGGTTAAGTCAAAACATTCCATGGACCAAAAAGGAAAGCCAAAATTTTTTTTTTATTACGGTATTCGTTAGGATTGAGCGTTGCACGTTTTTCATCTAAAAATCTCAAAACTAGAAACTTCAAGCTTCAAATTGTTTTTTTTTACGGCTCCAATTAGGTTTGGGACAGTTGAAATTTTCAAATGAAAATTTCAACTTTGAAAGTTTCAAACTTAAAATATTTCATTTAGTTGGAAAAGTGAAATTTTTAAAAATTTTCAATCCGAAAATTTCAACATTGCCTGTGAAGGTTTTAGAAATTTCATCGAAAGTTTCGCAATTTAGTGAAAATTTCGCATAAATTTCACATGCGGCCTCCCCTGGGACCTTTAATAATAATTTAGAACAGATCGACCAATAAGAACGAGTTATCAAGCGTCTGGGCGTTTTTGTTTAGTTGGGCTTGGATTTGAATACACTATAAGTAATTATTGTTACTTATATGCATACATTAATTTAAATAATTTAATTCAGTTACCAATTTAATTTGTAAATTAAATCAGTCATGATTAATTTAAACTTTTACTTTTGCTATACCTAATTGCATCGGAAAACGGATAAAAAATGCCTTTGGCTCATAAAATTTTGATGAAGTTTCTTCAATTTTCGTAAAATTTCAGTAAAATATTTAAAAATAATAAATATAAAACAATGAAAGTGGCACAATCTCATTAGCTTACCAAAAAGTCCTATATCTCTTTTAGTTTTAGTAATTTTAAAAATATTTTAAAAGGAAATCTCAAGAAATTTGTGGTAAACATAGGTATTTACTATTTATATTATTGGTGCAGGGGCCCACAGAGGGGTAGGAGGTAAGAGAGGCAATTTGCCATGGTCCCCAAGTGGGCTTATTTCAATATTAATATATTACACTTAATAAATTTTCATAAATTTCATAAATGTCATGAAAATTTCAAGTGAAATTTCAAGTACAAGGAAAAAGTGAAATTTTCCCAACCCTAGCTCCAATACGACCATTTTTAAAAAAGATACAGCTATCCGAAAAAACTACCAAATAATAAGAAATCAGATTTTTTAGTCTCGGTCAAAATTTTCAATAATGAAAAATATAATACATATATTCCACATTTCACTTTATTATTAATATACATTTTACTCATTTTTTTTTTAAATTACTCCATCTTTTAAGATTGATGTTATTTATTGACAGAATATGCTTTATTGTAGCGGATTTGAAAAAAACAAAAAAACCGTTTTTTGTCTAGGTTTTTTTTCATGTTTCTTTTTCACATCTGAAAAAAAAATTTTTTTTACATCTCTATAACGACGGTTTTGTCCACATAAGGATGCAAATCGTTTTTTTTTATAAATATAAAAAAATATAAATTTAGAAAATATACCAGGAGCACTACCTACCCCTTAGGGCCGGTTTATCCATAGTATCCATCTCATGATTGCTAGCTTAGCTTTTTTATGGACATACGGTGTCCTGCAATATTACTATTTTGTGGTAGTAATCCGCATAATTATGCCCTTAGTACAGGCGCGTAGACAGAAAAGAAAATCGGGGGGTTGGAAAAATATAATATTAAAATCTTTATAGTTTTGATCATGAGCTAATTAGGAAAAATAAGTTAAAACATAACTGTTTCGCACATTTTGGAGGGGGGATCAAACACTAAACTAAACGCTAAATGATCTTTTTACACCCGAAAATCAATACCTTCTTAAAAAATAATAAATAAAAAATGTTATAATGTAACTTTTTGTTAAAATATCCACCATTTTAAAATACTTTTTTATTTTCAAAAATGTATAAAAGAGAGGCTTAATGTTTTTTTTTAAATGTAATAATGATTTATCATTAAAAATTTTGTTTAACGTCATATACGTTGTTTTGGTAAAGTTTAACATTTAAGGGGTTAACCTCGGGGTTAACATATAGGCAAATTTTTCAAAAAAATGTTTTGAATTTCTAGCACAAACGGTTTAGAAGTACCTAATTAATAGTAGAGGATCCCAAGTAAGGTCGACCTTCACCCATCTGCTTACCAGATGAAAATTATATTTTATCAAATAAAATATGTTTCTGAACATAAACCAATAGGGTTGCCATAAAAAATATGATCAAGGCTAGCTATAATAAATAAAAAATTAAAAAAAAATAATTAATTTTTTAAATTTCACCGACTTGCTTGCCAAATGAACGAAATTCCAATGGAAAGCATACAACATACAGAATATGTAACAGCTAGGTTGCCTACCTTTTTCTGGTCCCTATTACCTGGTTGCTTTGTACAGGGTGATCCCCTATAATGTCGCCCCCCTTTAACTTTTTTATTTTAAGTGTCCCAAAAAATTTAAAAGTTTGGTTATGTAGGTACTAAAAAATACTTTTTTTCTACGTATAAAGAAAATTGGAAAATTGATCAGTATACAGGGAAAAACAAAAAGTTCAAAATTCAACTGTTTCTGAAATATTCGCATTCGAAATGTCATCATTAAATGTTTTTTTAAACTGTTAGAAATCAAGAAGCCTCAGTATACCAAAATTTTTTTATTGAAAATAAATTACTATAGTGACATTATGTCAATAAGTGTTGTTAAATAAGTAAAAATGGCGTACTCAGACAGAGAAAAACAAACTATTTAAACTTATTATCTTAAAAATAATTTAAATATTTCTTAAACGGTTGAATTTAGGTGTATGGTATGATATATGAAATATGCTTAGAATTTTACAAGGAATCGAAAAATAAATTCATATATAGGGTGATCCATTGAAAAAAATAAACTTTTTGTTTTCCCTGTATACTGATCAATTTTCCAATTTTCTTTATACGTAGAAAAAAAGTATTTTTTAGTTCCTACATAACCACACTTTTAAATTTTTTGGGACACTTAAAATAAAAAAGTTAAAGGGGGGCGACATTATAGGGGATCACCCTGTACAAAGCAACCAGGTAATAGGGACCAGAAAAAGGTAGGCAACCTAGCTGTTACATATTCTGTATGTTTTATGCTTTCCATTGGAATTTCGTTCATTTGGCAAGCAAGTCGGTGAAATTTAAAAAATAAATTATTTTTTTAATTTTTTATTTATTATAGCTAGCCTTGATCATATTTTTTATGGCAACCCTATTGGTTTATGTTCAGAAACATATTTTATTTGATAAAATATAATTTTCATCTGGTAAGCAGATGGGTGAAGGTCGACCTTACTTGGGATCTTAGACTATAACGTTTCTCTAAAATAAATGGTAGAATAAATTATTTTGACAGATCAATTTTAAATAGGATTTTTAATCGAATTTTCAAACTATTCAAATAGTGAATATATTTGAATGGTTCAATGTGTGATAAAAAAGTTTTTTAAATACTTTCATATAAAATGGATACATTTTGACCCACTATTTCCAAATATAAGCTTTGTTTTAACAGATCACTTACTTTTTTATTTATATATGTACCTATACATATTAGGGTTGCTTGTTTTAAACAAACATTTTTTTACTCCCACAGCCTGATATTAATGTATGTTTAGAGTAAAAAAATACCTTTAGATTTAGCCCTTAATATTGCTACTATTTACATACTTTAATTTTGATTTTAAGATTTTTCCATTGTACTTTTTGCATTTTACGGCAAAACGGTTAAAAGTATAAAATACTTTATAGCAAATTAAGTTTCCTAGCATTATTGAAATAAATTGCATGGTTTAATAAATTTAACTGTCAAATATTGATACATTAATTATTACAAACACCGTGTCGTCTGGTAAATGCGACGTGGTGTATACCATGGTGTATGCATTTTAGATTTCTTTTAAGACATTTAATATTAACATTTTTATAAAATAATGTTAAAAAATTATAATTTTGCATACCTGTGTAATGAAATAAGTTAAACTAATCCCATGATTAAAAATGTTAAAAAACAAAAATAAATAACAAAATACTTTGGGCCACCAAAAAAATTAGGTGGATAGGCACGAAAAGAGGATACAACCCTGCTTAAAATACCCCATAGAGACCTATACAAAATATTCTATAGGGCGCTACCGGTTTCAATATGTGCATTTGTCCAAGGTTTTTTCCGGATACAGCCCGATAGAAAATGTATAAGAAATTACCTATAGGCACACCATAACTTTTACATTTTCCCTATTGAGACCGATAGAAAATAACTCAATGAAGGATATATAGGGATATCCCTATAGAACAACCATAAAACATTTGACAAAATTTTATTAAAACCTATGGGGTCCTATAGGGAAAAAACTAATTTCTACATTTATGTGTATTTTCCCCATTGAAACCGATAGCAAATAAATCAATGGTGGATATCCCTATAGAACAACCATAAATCTCAACTATGGGTCCTATACAAACCGATACACCCTATAGAAACACCATACATCCCGATACAAATATCTATCGGTTTGAACAGGGTCTCTATGGGGTATTTTAAGCAGGGAAATGGGGGATTTAAAGTTTTGACTCACAGACAACAAAAAAAACGTCCCTAAAGATTGCGCTTTGCGTTATTCAACAACTGCATAGCAAAATAAAAATAAATGTAATTTGATTTTTAGAACATACCGGAAAAATGGACACCGGAAGTTAAGCACTTCTGCCCAAATGTGCCAATAATCTTGGTAGGCAACAAGAAAGATCTGCGCAGCGATCCGTCAACCATTAACGAGTTAAAAAAGATGAAACAGGAACCTGTAAAACCACAGGACGGCCGCTCCATGGCCGAAAAAATTAACGCGTTCGCTTACTTGGAGTGTTCGGCCAAAAGCAAGGAGGGCGTCCGAGAAGTTTTCGAGAACGCCACGCGCGCCGCATTACAGGTGAAAAAGAAGAAGAAACATCGTTGCGTTTTGTTTTGAACCAGCAATATATTTTATATTATTATTATTCTAATCGTTATTCGTGTTTAATCATTTTTAAAGGGGCTTTTGCATGTATCGACTAACTAACAAAATAAACCCCTTTTATTTTGTCTTTAGTTCTGTTTTGTTTACGAATCCTTTCCTATCACGTGGACAACGCACCCAAACAAACACAATGCTGCATTGCTATTTTGCATATCATGTTGACATGATGATGGCACCATGGTGGCATGATAACATAATGTTGGTAAGATTATGGCATCATGGTGGCATAATGTTGGTATTTACCTAATATATATATATATATATATTAGGGTGTGCCAAAAAAACTCGAAATAGTTTTTTTCTTGCTCTCCACCCAAAATATCGTAGAATATGTCCGAACAAATATTCTGTTAAAAGCGGAGCTCATAATTTCAATTTTAAGAGGTCCCTCATCGAATCTGAAGTTTTGCCGCTTAAATAGCACAGAAAACTGACCATTTTACCTTATTTATTCTTGCAACCTAGGAAGAATTTTTTTTTTCATAAAATCCATGACCAAATCTTACAAAGCATTAAACTTGGACGAAAAAATCTTATTAAGCCGAATTTCTATTTTCATTATTTGATTTTTTACAGAGCTTTAAATTTAAAATTTTACGTTTTTTGCCTTTTTCAGCTAAACTATTGCAGTTAGACGAAAAAGTCAAATGGCAATTTTTTAGCTTGTCTGATGGACCACAAAAAAGTTTTAGGCGAATTTTTTATATCGTCAATATTCTAAAAGTTACAGGCGTATAAAGTCATCATTTTTGTATTATTAACTTTAAATTTAAAGCTATGTAAAAAATTAAATAATGAAAATAGAAATTCGGCTTAATAAGATTTTTTTGTCCAAATTTAATGCTTTGTAAGAATTGGTCATGGATTTTATGAAAAAAAAAATCTTCCTAGGTTGCAAGAATGAATAAGGTAAAAAAGTCAGTTTTCTGTGTTATTTAAGCGGCAAAACTTCAGATTCGATGAGGGACCTCTTAAAATTGAAATTATGAGCTCCGCTTTTAACAGAATATTTGTTCGGACATATTCTACGATATTTTGGGTGGAGAGCAAGAAAAAAAAATATCGAGTTTTTTTGGCACACCCTAATATATATATATATATAAATGTCAATGGGTTGTCCGCTATTTTGCTGCGTCATCTGACATTTCAAAAGTAATTTGAAATGTCAAATATGACAGTTTAATAAAAACGTCAGTGCACAAACATTTATAACGATGTAATCCACTCCATCTATAATCTATTCTCTTTTTATTATTATATTATTTACTTTTAGTTTTATAATGTTATTATCTTATCATCATAATTCGTATCAGCAATTCGCTCTGAACAAATTACCTATTTTATCTACTATGGTGTTAATATAATTAATACAAATATTGTTCATTTATACATTAAAAACATTATTAATTATGTTGACAACGTTTAGTGAATACTAGTTGTCTATCAATGTAAGCTTTAACTTTTCCATACAATGTATCAAAAAAAACGTAAATAAATTGTTTTCCTATATATTTTCTTTGAATCGTTATAAAACTAATATTTAGTCATAATTAGTTTAATAAAATAATCTTTATAAACTAATTATGACTAATAAACCCCACCCAGATAGCAAACGTGAATACGAAATCACGCGTGAGTGAATAATGTGTGCTATATGATTTCACACGTGAAGTCTTGAACTCGTAATTCACACGTGAGTAGATTATGAATTCATATTATAGTCTCGTGTGATTTAATCGGTTTTATTTTAAAATACATGTATTGCATGATTAAAAACTGCACGTTTAAATATAAATAGAATATTAATATTCTAATATCAAAATATTACCTGACGCGCGAATTTTGGAATTATTATTTTAATTACATTTTTAAAATTCGCACAGCTCCATTGCGCAATTATATAATATATTATTATAATTATATATATTATAGTAATATATATAATTACATAATATATATTGGTTTAAAAGGTCACAATTATATGTTATAGGTACATTAATAATTAATATATGTATATTATATATTAATTAATTAATTAATTAGTTAACCTTAAGGTTATAATTGTAATGTATAACCTATAATTGAGGAGCAATCAACCAAAACCAGATAAATCCATTTTGACTTCTTGAATGATTCATATTTCTTTTAGTCGGACAAATCAATTGGAAAAGTGAATTTCAAGATAAACTTATTATAATAATATATATATTAATATTAGTATATAATATAATAATTATTATATAATATTAATATTATGATCATATCATATTATGATAACAAGTTTAGCTTGAAATAGATATTTCCAATGGATTTATCTGAACAAAAGAAATAGGAACCATTCAAAAAGTCGAAATGGATTTATCTGGTTTAGTCTGATTGCTTCTCAATTATGGCCTTTTAAACCAAGTTTTTGTGTATTTTTTTAAGATGTTAAAATAAATATTTCGACAGATTAAATTATTTTGAAAAATGAAATCCATATTCTAAAAGCGCATGCGCAAAAAATAAAAAGTTCACGCGTGATGGCAAATTGAGCATCAATTGAGGACTCATCTGTCGCGTTATATGAATTCACGCGTGAATTTAATTTTCACGCGTGAATTCGTAGTGAATTCATTTTGCTATCTAACATGCATGTTTATAATAACACATCTATAAACATTTCAAGGTAAGTTATCACCTTTATTTATATTGCTAAATTATTAGTGGTTTTAATATTGAACAATTTTTCTATATTAAACAGTATCCTCAATTTGTTTAAATGAATAGTAACCAGTTTTACTTTATCTCTAAGGGCCATATGCAGAAAAGTTGATTTATTTATATTAACTGATTTAGCATATCAGTGGATATAGGTTTTTGACGACATGGCAAAGCAGTATTGTTCTTTAAAAACTGTTGTTTTATAAAATAAATTGGCTAATTATCTTTCAACGTTTATATTTCTACGACACTAAAGATTTGTAGGTTATCTTACACATACTTAAATATGTGTTTATTACATTATAAGAGTAGTACATTTTTAAAATGTATTATTAAATATATACAAATACATTTATAACTGACTAAACCTTACTATTGGCAAAAACTTGGTTTGAAGGGGATTGCGGCAATATAAAACATACACAATTGGGTTATGTTCGCAGTTTGCAATGTGTTCTGGTATAAGTAAATTATCATTAGAAGGTATGAAAAATGAAAATTACCGCTTAACTATGGTTTAGCGTAAAAATCGAACATTTCGTCCCCAAATTCACGAAGTGGCGTATATGAAGATTTAAGTTATACAAAAAAGCAATTTTCTGAAATAAACGTTTAGCATTTTAAACGTTTATTCCAGAAAATTGGTTTTTTTTGCATAACACAAAACTTCAAACACCCGTATCGGGAGATTTGTGTTATGCAAAAAAGCAAATTTCTGGAATAAGTGTTTAGTATGCTAAACTTTTATTTCAAAAAATTGCATAACTTAAATCTTCATATACGCCACTTCGTGAATTTGGTGACGATTTGTTTGCAAGTGATGCCAGAATTGAATATATTTTTACAACCTTGTTTCTAAATCTAAATGGTGCATTTTTTGCAAAAAAAAATTTCATCCATTGACAGCTGTGGTTTTTAGGCCTTAAGTCACTCTACTGTGTTAAAAATAGATAAATTTCGATATTTTGTAATAACATTTATATTTAAAAACGTATCGATTTGAAATTAAAGATAAAAGGTAGACCTATTAGTGGCAATAAATCCACGTATAACTTTTTTTTAGATTTTAACATTCAGGGGGGACAATTTAATTTTAAATTTTACCATTTTTTAAAGGTTAAAATAAATTATATTAGGTAAAGTTATCATTAGTTAATTCTGCACCAACAAATGTACTATGATGGACATCATAAAGTCCGGTTTTATCGTTCTCTCTCTGACCTTGCCGCGAATTCAAAACAACCAATAAAAAGTCGCTAGGCACTGTTGTGAAATCTACAATAATATCTATTTAATTCAACATATGTTATGCTTACTCTGTCTTGCCTGATCTGCTCGCGCCGTCAGTGGGCTATATATCGAAAAACAAACAAAAAGTCATTTAGTTAAAATATTTTATTGATTTTTTTTAAATAAAGAAATATTTGTTTAAAAATCATACTTATAATTTAGCAAATTTATGTTCACTGAACATTGTTCAGTATACTATAATTTATCTTTTTGACTTGTCATACTAACCATTTTCTGTTGTAGTTAATGATTAATAAATTAATTATTGATTTTTGAAAAAAAAAATTGCCCAAAAAATATTATTATTATTATTTATTTTTTTGTATCACACAAAAATAAGTAAAAATAATGACACTTAATATTAAATACTATAACATATACAAGAATAAAATTTAATTATAAAATTAAAAAGAATCCTTAAAAAAATCTTCAACAGAATAGTACATTTTATTTAAAAAAAATAGTGTGTATTTTTTTTCTTTAAAATATTAATATTTTTACAAGATAAAATAACATTTGACACATGATTATGACATTTTATTCCCTGATAAGCAAAGGCTTGAGAGACTGACAATCTGGAATAAGGCAAATATAGGTTTTTATTACCTCTTGTACCATAACTATATGCATATATATATATATATATATATATATATATATATATATATGCATATCCTTTGTATAAATAAACCTTTATTTTCTTCAATGTATATAATTAAATTGTAAATAAATAAACAGGGTAGTGTTAAAAATGAATATTTTTAAATAACGGTTTACACAAATATGATGGACTTTTACTATCTAGACATCTGATAAGTTTTTTTTGTAATAAAAATACTCTTTCAAAGTGAGCTGAAACACCCCAAAAAATAATACCATATGACAATACAGATTGAATTACGCCAAAATACATTAATTTTAATACAGGAAAGGACACTGTGTCTCTAAGAGACCTTATTAAAATCATAAGGAGCTTAATCTCTTACATAAAGAATTTATATGTGGTTCCCAAGTTAATTTTGGGTCCAATGTTATCCCCAAGAATTTTACTGAATCGCTGGCTGGAATTGATGAACTATTAATGTTTATGTATAGGCTAGAATCAAGCCTTGCATTTTTTGGAAAAAATTGCATAAAGTTTGTTTTATTAACATTTAAAAGTAATCAATTTTGTTGACACCATTTACTTAACTGATTTGACACCAAGGAAGAGTTTGTGGAAAGATTTTTCACTTCTTTATCCCTAAGCAAAACATTTGTATCATCAGCATACAA